AAACCATTTCAGGTGACTACCTCTTGAAGCTCATGGAGAGAATGCCAAGAGTGTGCAAAGCAGTAATCAGAGCAAAGGGTGGCTATTTTGAAGAAACTAGAATATAAAACATGTTTTCAGTTATTTCACCATTTTTTGTTAAGTACATAACTCCACATGTGTTCATTCATAGTTTTGATGCCTTCAGTGAGAATCTACAATGTAAATAGTCATGAAAATAAAGAAAACGCATTGAATGAGAAGGTGTGTCCAAACTTTTGGCCTGTACTGTATGTCAAAACCTTTTATGTGCAACTTAATATAAATACATAGATCACTATTTTCCAGTGACAAAAAAATCAGATCAGTTTAGTCTTAAACAGTTTAGGTAGATTTATCTTTATTTAAACACAGTGTGAAAAGGACTCAGTGTACAGTTGAGAGTATACAAACACAACAGTAAATAAAAACACAATAACAGAAACAGAAAGCCAGGGGGATAACATACTACACAAAGATATTATAAGACCTAGCTACAGATGCCAAGTGTCTTTATGGCCTTTTTGTTGGTCGAATCAAAAAGCAGTTTCATATTGTGTTCAACATCCCTCACAAAAAAAAACAATATAAAGTGGAATAAATTTTAATAATGCAGCAATTCAGATGATATGCCATCACTTACTGCAGCATATCAATTTCATACATGTGCTGAGAGCAGACTTGGTGCCATGTACTTGTTAGGCAGAAGAATTAAGGGGGTGGAGGCACCCTACCTCTTCTTAACCCATATCCCATATGTTTTGAAAGACAGCGATCACGTGACCAATGGGAGTAAACAAGGAAGTAGTCTCAAGCAATCTTGTAGGAAGTAAGGGAGGGTGGATGACTTTCCCTTTGGTTTTTCCCCTGGAGTCACGTGCTCAGAGCCGAGTGAACTTTTAGTCATTTTAAGGTACGTCTTCGCCATGTTTCTCATCCTTAACCTAACCTCAGTGACTTTACTTGCCTGAACCTAAATTCCGTAACATTACGCTAATTACGTAACTGTACGTTAAGGACGTAACGTCACACGAAGTGCTGTGAATGCATTTTTCCGCAGGATATCATACGGACCGTTTTATGAGAATACTGATTAAAAAGAGGAAATTTAGGATGCAGTATAAGTGTAGTAAGACTATACTACACTGTCCAAGTGTAGAAGTTTTCGTAAAGTGTTAGTGCGTTATAAGTTTATATACAGTTTGCCTAAAAACTCCTATTGTGTGCATTTGTCCCGTGCAGCACTCAATCAGCTGGCTTCCTAATCCATGACAAACCCCTGGTCTAAGATTTTTGTTTCAGCATGCTCTGAAATGGCCAGTTGAGCTGTGAAGTTTCTAAAAAATTATCCTGCAGGGAGTATCCCTCAGATCCACCGCGTTGCAGAAGGTGTAGATTGAAAACTGCGCCCCTTATTGACTCATTATCATCTGTACCTGCAATATTAATGTGTTTTAGAAAGTGAGAAACTTGTGAACATTTGTTAATGTTTCTGAAGCATTTATGGACCTAACTGCAAATAATAAACACCAGTTAATCAGGATATTTAACAACCTGGCAACCCAGATTTTGTAACTGGTTTGTAAGTGATTAAGTAACTATTAATAATGTTTTCTTATTTAACCTTTATTTAACCAGGAAGTCACATTGGGATTGAAAATATCTTTAACAAGAGAAACCAGGCCAAGGTAGCAGCCAATTAAAACACATTAAACTGCAACAAATACAGCATATAATACAAAAATCCACAATAAAACAAGCACATGTCTCTGTCACCACATTCTTTATGATCAGTTGATGTAAGTGTTTCCAATTTTAGATCTTTTTGAAGATGTACCATGCCCATGGTGCATTGTAAGAAAATACAGTTAAACCTAAAAAATTTAAAAGCAACCACCTGGAGGAGTGTAACTGAAACTACCAAAGCTAGCACACAGAAGGGTGCAGAAGTAGGCTAGAAGTTTGCCCAGTATTGCTTTATAAATAAAGATATACCAGTGCTGCTGTCTGGGAGTGGTCAATGATGTCCAACCCATCAAAATATGAAGAATGCAGTGATGAGTAAGGGACTTTGCATTTATAAAAATATAATAAAGCCAACACTACAACTGGAACAACGCACTTACATATTAAAAAAGTATTTTGTATTTATTTTATTATTTCTTTTTTGTAAATTATTATTATTATTATTATTATTATTATTATTATTTTATATTATTTTCTCCTCATTAGTTATTACTATTATAATTTAATCTTGTCTTTACTGCCAATGTACTTGCTCGGAGGTGTTTGTAAAACTTTAAAAACTAATAAATAAATAATTGAAAAATAAATAAATAAAATGAAGCCAATAGTTAGAACTCACACATCCTTTTATAAAGATGTATTTTAGGTATTTCAGTGACTTAAATTTCACTGCGCAGGTGAAAGCCAGAGCAGACGTCACGTGACCCCGGGGAGCCAATGGCCAGCAGAGTTTCCGGTATCTCCAGGTGCAGTTGATGAACCAGAAGGCTGATGTCTGCGTAGTCGCGTCACGGCTCCGGATAATGTAACCAAACTGTAATAAACTAACAGGTTATCTTACAGGAAGTGATGTAGGTAAACAAAAAACAAACAGCAGTAGTAGAAAACAGTCTTCACACGATTTATTTGTCACCTGAGGAAGAGGAGGAAGACGAAGACTGCGGCTCATGGCTCTGATTCTGGTCGCTATCATACTGGTGTTCAGCGGGAAATGGGACAGGACTTTCCTGGCAGACGGTAAGAGACACAAAATAAACTTTATTCACTTAAATTCACTCAGTTATGATACTTTATTTGGAATATTAAAAAAACGTGCTAATAGCTGCAGTGTTCACCTTATTATTTTGGTATATGTATCAGTCGCAGTGAGGTGTAGGGGATGCTGGGTGGGTAAATACAGGTCAATACACATGTGGTCACTAGGTACAGGGTCACTGTCACGCAGTCACATGCTGTTGCCTGGCAACCTGAGGACCAGACCCGGACTTCGGACCCGGATGTGTGCCCCTTTGTTTGATAAATAGTTAAAAAAAACAGAAGAAGAGGAAAGCAAAGTGACGTCAGAGAGGAACCAGAGAATGCAGTCGTGCGGGTTATTTGCTGGCCGCAGCCTCGATGAGCGCATGCGCAAAACATGTTGAAGAACAGGTCCAGATTCAACAGGGCAGAGCTCATTAATTAGATTGTTTGAGATGTGTTTTTAGATTTGTCCTGACACAGGAGCAGTGGGGTGTTGCTGTTTACATTGAACATGTCATCCTCAGACAGAAAAGAAGTGTGTTTTTATCTTTTCATCCATGTCAGCATAACAGCCATTAGCTCAGAGTCAGCCAGGGTGAAAGAGTAAACAGGTTCACCATCATGCACTATTAGACACTCACTCTTTGCCAAAAGCTAAAAACTGAACAAAGTCTTTTTTATACGCAGACAGTGGGCAAAGAAGAAAAGCTGCACACAACATAAAATAGAGATGCACCATTTAGTAGACTATGACTTGGCTTTGACGTGATCGGGGTTAAATACAGTTTCTTCATTTATCAGGCCAAAACAGCACCAGTTTCTTTTCACTGGCCATCACTAAGATAAACAGTTTGACAAGTTATACACTGTCAGTTACACCAAACATCCACTGCTCCCATTATAATTTCACAATAGTTACAAGAGGTGACTGAAAGTGCTTCTATTTTTCAACATAATCCCCCCTCAAGGGCAACACATTCGCTTCAGCAGTGCTGGAGCTCCTTTATCTGGGACCCTGTGACCCATCTTCAACACTCTCCATGTCACGCTTGAATTCTTGCACCCAGTGTTTGACTGTGGCACATGAAGGGGCATTGTCATGTTTAGTATTTAGCATATCTTGGTGGATTTCAGATGGTGAGATGAGATGAAGATATGTGATCACAGCGCGATAATCCAATTTCTCCATCTTCAACAAATCACTGACCACTGTTCACTTCAAGAATCTGCAAAAATAGAACAAAAAGAGTTCAGACATTCATTTTTCATTAATTAATTTTCTGTAACCGCTTATCCTGTTGCGGGTCACAAGGGGGCTGGAGCCTATCTCGGCTGACATTGGGCGAGAGGCGGGATACACCCTGGACAGGTCACCAGACTATCACAGGGCTGACACATACAGACAGACAGACAGAGAGCCAGTCACGTTCACACCTACGGCCAATTTAGGGTCACCGGTTAACCTGCATGTCTTTGGACTGTGGGAGGAAGCCAGAGTACCTGGAGAAAATCCATGCTGACACGGGGAGAACATGCAAACTCTGCACAGAAGGGCTACCCCACCCTGGGTTTAAACCAGAACCCTCTTGCTGTGAGGCGACAGTGCGAGAGCCCTGGTATAGGATCATTACGAGTTAAGAGACTATAATCAGTTTTAGGATGAATAAAGTTGGTTTAATACATCCCTGCTGTAAAGATGACTGTGTAAACTCCCTGTGTCTCTATTTGCAGCTCAGACTTGTGTGGATGGGAGCGAGTTAAAGGAGCAGGTGCTCTATGTGAAGCAGCTTCCATATCGTCTGAACTGCCCTCTGGAGCTCCAGAGCTCCCCTCAGCCCAAACTGACCTGGCAGAGAAACTGCCAGCAGCTGCCCACCCAGGAAAACAAGACCTACCTGGAGTTTAGCAGCCTCAGCTTGGAGGACCAAGGGAATTACACCTGCACGCAGCAGGGCAACAGCACAGCCTCGTTCACTGTGCGTCTCGTAGTTAAAGGTAAGTATTATTTCCGTGTTTAAGTGTAATGAAGTCATCTTAAACCTGATACTGTAATTATGTGTCTGCCTACAGTTAGCTATGATTTGTCCCTGCAGTGCAGTTTGCACGGGGGTTGAACAGCTGCACCTGCAAAGAGGCATTTAGTTTCAGTGTGCCTTCCAGCAGTAGTCTCAGACTGTACCTGGCATTGCGCATGAAGGCGTCTATTGTCTCCAGCTCCTGCAGTGAACACAGATAACAGTGGAATGTCTTTCCACAGAGTCCCTGTGCTCCGGAGCCCCTGAATTTAAACATGATGGGCACCATGATGGAGTCTACGGGATTATGGGATCCACTGTGACACTGAACTGCACTGTTGTCCTCCCCTGGGACCCAACAGACGAGCACTGTGACACCACGCTGCAGTGGAGTAAAGATGGCCAACCTCTCACTAATCAATCATATGGCGTGCAGAACACCTCCTCATGGTGACTTGAAGCTTTTTAGAATATCACTTACATGTACCCGCTTAAAAACATATTTGAGTAAGACGGTGTTTTCTGTTCTGATGATCAGGTCTCCTGCTGCTGGTCAGCTGATGGTAAACAGTCTGCTGGTGATCAACCTCACAGACCTAACACATTTTGGGCCCTACAGCTGCACAGTGAGGAACATTTCATCTGATTTCATCGTGATACATTCAGGTATGACAACTAAAGATACCTACACATATATATACTGGGTTTCTCAGATTCTTCCTGCATGTTGTGTCATATTTCTAAAGAGATCGGCAACCCAAACATGAAAGAGACACGCAAATGTGATCATGTATTATAGAGAAAACTGCTTTTTTTGTCCCCAATCCCAATCCAGATCATTTAGATCAGAGTCTCCACCCGATACTTTACTAAATAAATTAAATAGCTCTGCAGTGTATCAAGGAAAAAATAACCTGCTTCCAAGCCGTTCCTTAATGTTTTTTATTTGTATTTTTTACAAAATAACATGAAGTCTGGTATAGCGAGCCCTCTGTTTAATCTTTTTGGCCTTGTTGCTGAAGGAATTTCTCTTTTGCTTTTAGAGAGTATTCTCCAGTGTTTGTTGCTTTGGTGTAGCCTGTTTCTGAGTTACCTGAATGAACTGTGTTCCATCAAGCCTTTATTTTTGTCATCTGTACACGTTTAGCATGAATTACATTAATGAATTTCTCTTATTGGCTTTGTGCTTGTGGGGCTTGGAGAGTTGAGGACACTTGTTGTGTTGCTGTACATACAAAACACCTGTGTGACAGCTGACGTGAAACAATGAATGGGATCAGGCTCAATCTAACTCAATATAGCCGATCCAGATCAGTTACAAAATGCCTTGACCAGCCCTGGTACTGATCTTAGTGATCGGTTCAGGACATTCCCAGAAAAGAGTGAAAGACAAGACAAGAGGGGACAAGAGGAGGAGCAGTTATAACCTGCATCTATATCAAAAGTCATATCAATCGTAGACATGGTCTGCTCTCTCACACCTGTTAATACCACACACACACAGATACCTCCAGTCTGTATCACTTCACAGTGTCTTGGCAGGTAGCTGGGCTTGGCAGTGTAGGCAGCAGAGGTCCATCTGGTTCACAACATGAATTGATTCTGACTAATGTTACTGAAATGTGTACAGTACTTAAAGAAAAGCAACATAAGCTATTTCTTTCTAAACACATTATACATGTTGGAAAATACTTTCTGGGTCCACAATTTTTTGAGTGCGCCCGAAATTATTGCACGATGACGCACAGGAGCTGTCCTTAACATAACTCCTCCCCTACTATATAAAACTAGGTGTTAGATTGCATAGCATCAGTGTCATTATGTTCACCCCGTGTGTGAGTGGAGAGCTCACTACGTTAAACAAGCTCTCTTAGCTCTTTCAGTCTAATAATTACATGACCAAACACTTTGTTAAATGCCACAATCATATAAACTCATTCAAAACAGCCGTCGCTAATGCACCTTTCAGGCGTTCGGCCCAAATCAGTTTCCCGGGCTGCCTGCTGTGTGCTTTGTGCTAACATTAGCTGCTGAATGAGAGTCAGTTGCTGTGTTGCCGCACTTGCTCTTTAGCTCAGGGTGTGTGTGTGCTGTGTGCCTCTGGGTTAGCTGCTAACCAGAGTCAGTCAATGTGCAGCTCTTCGTTCTTTGTCTAGGTGCCTTCAGCGGACACCCCTCCAGCATCTTAGAGCGGCCAATGCTGCTTTTTAAAACACAATTTTATATTCTTGTCGATTTTTTAATTATTCAAATTTGGCTAAGTGGTTTGTGACACATTTGTCTGTGTTATGACAAACTCAAAACACAAATTTCATTTGTTTTACTCAGACTTTAAGTCCTTTAGTTAGAACAACCCAGTTATACAGACTCACTCTACTGACAGAAACCATATTCCATAAAGTTTGTGACGATCAATTTGAATTACAGTATTGGTTGATTGCTTTTCTTTTTCTTTTTTTCCTCAGAAATAATTGGGTGCCCCCGTGACCTCCCTCGCCCCCCCAACCACACAGCTGCTGTTATCGCAGCCATCGTCCTCCTCCTCCTCCTGGCTGTGGCTGCTGTTGTGTACTCCAGGTGTCACCTCAACATCAAACTCTGGTACAAGAACTCGTACGGAGACTACGAACTCAATGGTGAGGCTTCTGTTGAGGTGCTGTCAGGTTTTTATAATCATGAATAAGACTGTTTTATTAACACCATGGGTGTGTCTGTGTGTCCATGTCTTCAGATGGCAAATTATACGATGCCTACATCTCGTATGTCAACAACGATCATGACAGGAAGTTTGTCAACTTTATTCTCAAACCTCACCTGGAGAGTAAAAATGCATACAAGGTGCACCTCAATGAAAACGACATCCTACCAGGCTCAGGTAAGATTTATTAATAATATTAAATTGAAATTAATATTTAATCCATTGTTTATGCAGTTTTTGATTGTTTTAATCTTCACAATACATCTGTTAGCTGTTATTTCACCCAATTTATAAATACTTTATTTAATCAGGAAGTCACACTGAGAACATGATCTAATTTATAAGTGAGACCTACAGAGTAAAAAATAGAAATAAATAATAGTGATAAGAGTTTTAGGGAAAGAGGCTCCTGGGTTACAAATTGTAATGTAAAGCTGGCGGTTTTTAACAATGCACAACGATATTTTGTGTCTCCAGAACCTTCTGCAGAGCTTCTGATGAACATGAGTCGCTCTCGGCGTCTGATCATGTTGCTCTCTTATGCTTACCTTGAGCAGGACTGGTGCTGCAATAACTTCAGGTCAGACGAATTTGATGTAGAAACAAAGTGTGAAACTGAGTGTAAATACTGTGGCATCATCACAATACACCACTTGAGGTCAGTGTTGCTGCTGTACACTGCAGTATCTCCAGTATGTCATATCATGACACACTGTATCTGTGTGTTTTCAGACAGGGCCTTCTGCACTTGTTGGAGTTGAATCAGCAGCCCATCCTCATCATGTTGGAGGGTCAGTCCAAACGCATGAGACCTGAGATCAAGCAGGTGCTCAGTGAGAACCAGCACTGCCTCACCGTGCTCACCTGGAGGCACAACTCTGTGGTAAGATCCACAATAACACCTGTTAGTGCTCTATGAGCAAACAAACGAAATACGATATGACTCCTCATTTTAAACACCATTGTCTCCTCTGACTAAAAACCCTGACGGTAAATTGGATTTAAGCCGAATCACATGGAGTGAATATATCATTATGTAAACTATACATGTACATATGTGCAAAGTATCTTTAACATTTATATCTTGTGTCTGTCTCTGTCTTCGCTGTCCCACTGAGAGTATGTGTTTCCCTTGAAGCCACATTACATATTGACATTATAGTGAAAGAGTTTAGGTTTAAAAAAAGGCATCATAAAATACGGTAGTAGTTTTTTAATCTGTAAGTGTTTAAAGGTAAAGGTATATTATGTAGGATGGTCGGTTACTGTTTTTAAACATACTAGATTCATTCTCGTTAGACATTTTGCCTACCTATAGTTGCATTTTTTTTTTTTTTTTTGGTGCTGTGTTTCTTAAATGCCAGCTGATTACAGTCTGGCATCTGGTCACTACCTTTTTTTTTTTTAAATCTGATCTCACCTGAGCACTGTGGGGGTACACGCCCATAAACACCCCAAACACAGAACAGAAAAAGAAAATAAAAAAATACATGCAGAGAGCAGAGTCTCTGTAGAGGAACACACCACCACACACTGAGAGTGGATCATAAGTGAGGATGAGAGGGATTACTTTTGTGTGAGTCTATGCATTGTTCTTTTTGTAAGAAAATCCTGTATAATATATCTTTAACACTGCAAAATGTATGACTGTGTGGGTGCTGGGTGTGACATCATCTTTCTCCAAGTGAACCCAGTCCACTGCGAACTTGTGTGAGACATCACAGACAGAAATCTGCCATGTGAAATAATTATTATAATCTAAATAAATCCAAATGTCAGCACTCACAAATATCATATATATCAGTCTTTTAATAACGCGCAGCAGTATCAAACGGACGTGTTTCAGCAGGAAAGCCAAGTGCTGAAACGCATCCGTTTGTGATACTGCTGTGCGTTATTAAAAGACTGATATATATGATATTTGTGAGTGCTGACATTTGTATTTATTTAGTTTGTGAATTTTGGGTCGGCACCCTGTGATTTTTCAAACGGCGAGTCGAGCACGTCAGTTCTTTTGCTTTTGTAAATAATTATTATCACATGTTGCTGTGACAGAAAAGAAGCAATGCTGATTTTTGTAGCAATGTAAATAGTCTATTTAACTGACAACTACACAACTGTAGAAATTTGTCAGTGTAGAATGGTGTTTCAATGGAATTAAAAAAATGTACATATGAATTCAGATTATAAATGTACAGTTTATATCATATGATGATACATGCATCTTATGCTTACACTTATTCTATTCTTGTTTTATTTTATAGATGTATATATTATAGGGTAGTTTCACACTAACAGCCTTAGCACAGTGACGATATATATTTTATTTTTAACATTTTTAATATCTTAGGAACTACTGTTAAATACTGTAGCATAATGCACATTCTATTTTTATTTTATTTTTATTTTTAATGCACATTTTCATTTCTATTATATTTTATTTTATTGCTTTATATTTACATCCTTCTATTTCCTACTCTTATTCTTATATGGCTCCTGTCCATCTAGCCACACAGATTCTCTATTTACACAGAATTTCATTTCTTTAAACTGGTTTTGCTGAATATTTATTTGTTATGTTAATATTATTATTTTTTACTTAATTCCTTATCTTGTTCTCTGTATCTGTTTTTTAATCTGCTGTTATTTTCTCTATCTTTGTCTGCAAGGTGAGTGTCGTGAAAGATGCCCATAAATAAAATGTATTATTATTATTACTTCTATTCCTTCTTCTATACCTCGATTCTTTACCAGAGTGACTGTGACGAATCACAGTTTCCCCTCGGGGATCAGTGAAGTATTTCTGATTCTGATTCTGATTAACAGCCTGGTGTAATATGTTGTGTTCGGTTTCCACAGACTCCGTCCTCAGTCTTCTGGAAGGAGCTGGCCTTAGTGATGCCTCGCAAAGTCGTCTTCCGCAGCGAGTCTGCAGGCGACCCTCAGACTGTCCTACAAGATGACAAGGACCCCATGCTGACCCTTGAGTCTGACTACCTGGACTGCCGCTCGGACACCGATCCTGCCGGAGATCTGGGTAAGAACAGCTGTCACGGGACTAGAAAAGTCCTCACGCAGTAATGTTTGGTTTACCTGTCACTCTATTTGCACATGCAAGAGATATAAACGCCTGCCTGCCAATGGTTTGGCATTTCTTGTACTTTTTGTGTCATGAGAATTAGAATATAAAAAATTATGGCCTATATGCAAGTCCCGACCTGATAGAGACGCTTTTCTCTTTTCCACCATGCACTGTGCATTATTGAAACTGGCCCAGTTTGACTCAACAAACACAGATTCAGCTTCAGTTAATCTTCAATACCGGGAAATCATTTCACATGCTGAGCTTGCACATATTTTGTCTGTGGTGTTTTGAATAAAGATAGATTTGAGAGGCAAATGAGTGTTCATGTCACAGGAATAGCTCAGCATTTGCTTCCTTGTATAGTTGATACATCTTTTTTTATTCTTCACTGAAACTTGAAGCTGCAGCTGGTTATCTTAGCGTAGCACAAAGACTGGGAACAGGATCTCAATATTCTCCTCAAACTCTCAGCAAGAAAGCAAATAAATATTTCACAAAATGTCACACTGCTCCTTTAATGAGTCCAGCTTTGCATATAGGTGCAACATCTTGTAACTGTAAAAATGTGTTGTAGCCTGAGGCCTGATGAGTGTATGCGCCTCATCAACAAGGCCCAGGACCCCACTGCCATGGTCTCTCACCCCCCCACCCCAGTAGACACTGTATATACGTGTTACATTAACCCACATCTTGAACTGTTATCTCTGCACATGCACTTATTCACTATACTGTGAACCTTTGTACATCCACTGATAAATACTTTTCAGGGCTTCACAATTAATTAAAATATTATCCAAATCGCAATTCGTTTTTTTCTCTCCCTCCCACACACACCCTTTTTATATTAATAATGCCATTGTTTCTTAGTTGCTTACTTATTAATTTATAAATAATGATAATAAATAAAATGATAATAAATAACCCACACAAGAGCTGTCAGGGTTTTTTGTGCCCAACAGTAACAACAGTAACTTGGTTTATCCTCCCGGACTCTCCTTGCCGACCCTTTCTGGAGTTTTCCGATGGTGCCTTGGCACTGCTTTGCTGCCGGCGGACGGGAGGACACTCCCCCTGACTTTATTATTATTAATTATTTTTTAATTATTGGTGGTAACAGGGTAAAGGTAGGATTAGTTTAATATACTTTCTTCCCTTTTTCTTTCTTCCCCCTTCCCCCATCCTTTCACCTGTTAAACCTGTAGAGTATAGACACACACACGCCAGCCAACACAACCTTGTCCCCTTATCCTCTGACAACACTGGCCTGTATTTACTTTTGTAGTCACTGTCCTTGTTTTGTTAGTGTTTTGTATTGTCTTGCAATTAAAAAAAATCACAATGTGGCCAAGTGAAAAATCTTTCTCTTTCTGCTGCAGGGCTTCGCCTCCCTGTGTACAAGGCTCTGGCCTGTAAAGCTCCAGTCCTCCCTCCTGCTCCCATCACCACAGCCGAGCCCAAGCCCTCCGACATCGACGTGTCCGACCTGGGATCACGCAACTACGGAGCTCGCTCAGACTTCTATTGCCTGGTCACAGAGGAGGACATGTGATCCACACTCCCCTCACTTACAGTTAACACTAAGGATATCCTCATAAATATCGCTTCACAGTTATCTGTCTCAATAATATGTTTTTTATAGTGTGTTGTTAAAATCAAATTGTTATCTGTTTCCTCTTACCAAAGACTTGTTTTTAATGTTTTTGTATTTTTTACTGTGGTGTAAAATATTTTATGAGAGAAATTATTTGAAATTTTTATGTCAATCGGAAAAACAGGGACATTTTATTGTCATTTCACAGCCAAGATCAGGGTTCCCACGTGTTTTCATGGAAAAAAAAATTAAAACTTTTCCATGACTTTTCAAGGACATATTAATTTTCTATTCTTGCACTACTTGCCTGGAGTTTTTCAAACAGATTCAAACTCTTTTCATACATGACTTCAGCTAGCGGTCATACAAGAAGGGAGAGACAGAACGTGGGGAGAAAAATGATGAACGTATTTGACTGTAAACAAAAAGTGGTCACATATTGGAGCATGTTAGAGATACATAACATCGTCAGCTCCAGAAAATAAATTTGCTGCTATGTTACATTACATGGACGGTTACTGTAACAGTTTAATCTAAAACGACATGACTTTTCCAGGCCTGGAATATTTGATTGTGAATTCCATGACTTGACCATGGGAACCCTGTAACATCTCTCATGAAGTCCCCAGCAGAGGGCAGAGTGATGTCAGATAATAAGCAGAAGGAATTAAAACATTTGTCACAAGACAGCTGACAGTATGCAGAGGTTTGGGACAGTTGGAGCAAAGACAGCGTCTTAAAGTCAGATTTAAACCCAGAACACTCGTATCTGTTTGCAGAGCAGTCAACTGAAGCATGACAACACTCATGACCGAAGGACTCACAGTTCTTGACATTTCTGTACAGGGGAGGGTTTTGTGTGTGATGTACACACACTCTCATAACAACTCAGCAATCACACTAATAAAGCAGTTTTAACTAAATACCTGGCTGTGTCTCTCTGTAGGGGGTGTTGATATCTGTCCTCATGGAATAATGATTACCAGCAGTGAAACAGGAGCCTAAATAAAGGTGCAGCAGGGAAGGTCGGTATCGTTCCTGTCTGAGCAGGAGAAAATATGTAAACAGGGAGTGGCCAACATTTTACCATGATTGTGTCAGTATAAGACCGTCACAGCAAACGCTGCAGCACACACACACACACGTGAGAAAGGCTTACAACGTGACATTTCACTTCCAAATTTGTCTCTTTATTAAATGAAAAATATCCACATCTGCCTGTACACAACACAACATTACAACATTCAGAAGCCACACAGAAACAGAGGGTCACCGTTTATGACACAGTGCAGAAATAATCCAAAGATTTAATCTGAGTTTTTAACTTTTTCTAAGAATTCGTTCAAGTTACACAAATATAATTAAAATATACTTGATAAGTTTTAATGCGGTCCAAATGTTACAAAAATAATATTTTTTCTTTTAAAATCAAAGTTAAGACTGTATCCTGTTTACCTGTTTCACACTCACATCAACTTAATTAAAATAAACTTTAGGTATAATCAAGGCTATTCAAGAGAAGGCTGAGACACGGGGTCAAACATGGGGGGATTGCACATGCGCAGTGTAACTTGAGCTGCGATGCTGGAGGGTGACAGCAGGGGCGCTAGATAAAAAGCGCAGGATCTGCTCAGGCGATCAAGGAGTGCGCTTGGTGCGGTCTGCTTGGACTTTTGGACGGCAGCTGCCTGAAGTTGTCGGAATTGCATCTCTGTCATGCTCACCCAAAACGCAGGCCACCAGTGACAGTCCAATAATAAGCTGTGAAAATGACATGCATGCACATCCCCTTTATTCCGCGGTCTCACGCCATCTACTGAGCCTTTGAAGAAGTGCAGACCAGATTTTACTGCGCATGTGCAATCCCCCCATGTTTGACCCCGTGTCTCAGCCTTCTCTTGAATAGCCTTGGGTATAATGACAATAAACAGACATTGTAGTACTCCATGTTTGACAAAGTGATTACGAACGCCACACATCAGCATTTTGTATGGCAAGACTGAGATTTCGCAAATGTAAAAAAGCACTTAACTACATAAAAAAGTCAACATCGGAGGCACAATCATTATCCCCACATTTCTCAATCTAATTAAGCACTCCAACTCTCTATAAATCTCCTGTGGTTTACATTCAATTATAACTGTGGGTTATAATTTTAAACTCATTTATCCATCCATCCATCCATCCAAAAACTACAAATATAAAGTACAATATATAAAACATTTGATTTCTGTGTAAAAGAAGAAGCAATATTTACAAAATACCACGTTAGTGCCGCACCCGTTTGCATTCATGCCGTGACTGAGGTGCAGCGGTGTGAAGATAAGGCACAAGCGTCCACCATATTGTCCTTTAACAGTCGTGAACTGTTTCCAAACAGCAGAAACACAAACAGCTGCAGGTTCATCTAAGTACATGTTGCTGTGACAGAAAAGAAATCCCTGATTCCACACTAAGACATACAGTGTTCAAACAAAGAGAATAAATGCTTAAGGTGCACACATTTGTATCAGAGTCCATCAATAGTCTGCCACACCGGATCCACGTTCCTTGAACTGTCCGTCGAGTTTTAAGAATACACAGGAAGTCCTTTTCCATCGGGTAGATCCTCCATCACTTGTGTGTCCATGTTCTCCTCACAAAGTATGGCTGATAAAAACTTAACCTACGTTATCTTTGAATAGTATTAACAGTCTATTTACTCCATATGGGGCTGGTGGAGTACAGGCCGGGAAACTTGTGCTGCGTCGCTCTTGTTTTACATCGTCATGTCTGCAAAATCCGATCTAATGAACCCTTTCTGTAACACAAAGAAACAAACGAGACAGTGTTAGGATGTTGCATGAGCATGAAACAGAAAAAAATGCTGTGTTTATTAATTTAAAGGAGCAGAGTGTAAGATTTAGTGGCATCTAGTGGTGAGGATTGCAGACTGCAACCGGCTGAAACTTTTCCCATGTGCCAAGTGTGAACTCCTGTTTAGAATTCCTTTAGTGTTCATTGTTCAGGAGGTTTTTAATGGGAGCCGAATTATCTGCAGAGGTCTCTTTCTCTCTAAAACAAACAGACCCGGCGATTAAAACCAGAAAAAACACTGAATAAAGCAGCATCAGTTAAAAAATCTGTTTTTCCAATGCTGTTCTGCTGTGGTCAGTGTGAAAATGTGAATGGCCCCATTGAGTGTTTGTTTTGTCTGGTTTGGGCTTCTGTAGAAACATGGCGGTGCAACATGGGGGACTCTGTGAATGAGGGCACGCACCCTATGTAGATATAAACGGCTCATTCTAAGGTAACGAAAACACAATGATGCTCAATTTCAGGAGATCATACACTAAAGAAAACATACTCATTTGATTATTTTCATTTCTGCCAACATTTCCCCCTAAATCCTACATACTGGAACTATTTCTTCAAATGTGAAATACGCTGCGCACCACAGAGGTGCAAACAGCATCCTTGATTTTAATATTTGACCTGGAGTGACATCTGAACTCAACACAATGCATGTCAGAGTTACACAACTCGGTTGTTTAAAGCCGCAGTCAGCGATTCTAATCTGATAAACTTTTTGTGAAATTCAGCGAATATCTCCTGCTCTGTGTGCGCGCTGAGAAAAAATCTGTCTGTCAATGGGAAACAAACAAAGTGGCTCAGACTAAGCCACACAACACTTTTCCAGCCAAAGGAAAAGGCCACGGAAGTATGAAGACAAAGGCAGTGGGAGCTGGAGGGACGGTAAAACTGACAGGAGGAGCGTATTTGTTTGGGTGCTGAGTTAAATTATCAACTATCTCTCCCCAGAATCACTGACTGTAGCTTTAGATATTTTTTACAACATGTGGTGGTGCAGGTATCCAGGGATAAACTTTCAAACTGCATATAAGACAAGCATAAAAGCATTTTTTGTTCTGCTGGGACTTGTTGGTTAGGAAATAAGCTTAACACCGCACCCTTGGGAGGGGCAAGCCGTGATCTGCAGAAGGCAGCAAGCGAACACTACCTGGTCCTGCCCAGAGACGTGGACACGCCTCAGTGTGTGAGTGTGTGTTGAAAGAGCAACAGCGTGAACAGTGAGAGATATATGAGTTTTGAACATGCGCCACCCAACAGACGAGGGAATTGCTGGGAAGAGAGGAATGTCATCCGTCACACACACATGCACATGCACATGCACATGCACACACACACACACACACACACACACACACTCACAGACAAATACACAAAATCTCTGTCATTCTCACTCTTTTTCACACTCAGGCACACACACGCAGATATAAGAATGAGGGTGGGGCCCCTTGAGAAGAGGTTTTTCACAGACGCTTGACTTTTGTGCAACAGTCGACAAACAGTCTAACTTGTTCTCCATATTAGAGGTCAGGAGACTCTTAAGAAAGAGATATTGAAAGTGTCATCAAAAAATATGCACAAATTAAGCTGATCTTTTTTTTTACTTTGATGCATCTTTTATATCTTTTTTTTTAACTATAATGCATGAGAAGAAAACCTTAAAGTCCTGTAATAAGAAGTCCTGAAGTGCAGTATAGCTATACATTAATACGAGTTGGTAATGCTTAATGATATTTTTATTTAGCAAGTGTTTCTATAACATTGCTATCTGTGGTTTCAGAAAGTTTTTAAAGAGTTTCAACATGTTTAAATTCTGTTACAGTGTGATTTGATAGTTCAAAATTATAATTTGACCCCTTTAAAGGCATCTAAATGTGATTAACATTTAAAAACTCTGCAGAAACGTGCAATGGATGATTAAAAAAACATTTTTCTCTTACCTGTTTGTAGTTTTTGTGCAGTTTCTTGTACTGGAACATGTTGCTAAGAACCGTGGCTGCTGCTTTGGCTGCTTTCATCTTCCCAGAGCTAGAAAAGAAAGAGGCATCCAAGGTTAACAGTGTTTGAGAAGACAGGTTGTTGACCATTCATCAAATGTCCCGCTAATGTCTCAACCACTAAGTACACATTTAATTATTACACTATGTTTAATCAATGCCATAATACAAACAGTGACTCACCTGCTGTCATGGGAGTTCTTGATGCCAATCAGTTTTGGGATGCCATCAAAGAAGGTGATGTCTCTGGCAGCTAAACTGCTGCTGGTCACCAGGTTATTGAGGACACCACAGATGTTGACCACCACCTCGCTGGATGGCTCCTTCTTGTGTCCATCGTCGGGCAGCTTGGTCACCAGGTTGTTCACCACCTTTGTGGCTGGATGAACCAATAAGTATTGTTAGAATTAATATGTTTAAAACCTAAAAAAGGAAATCTCCCACATATGCTTTGGATTGTCCAGTGAAGGTTGAAAACACAGTATTGTATTAATATCAAAGACAAAATTATTTCAAGGACCCAAAACTATGGATTTTCGGAGACATCAGCTTAATGTTAATGTGAACCAACACAATAAATAAATTTATTTTGTTTGCTGGCACTGCAGTGAAAAAACACATTCTAACTATCTGGAAATCTTAAAATTCACCATCACCAAGACATCGGCCAAATGAGCACTCCAGAAAATATAACCTGTAACCTTTCAGAAAATGTACAGGCCTTTGAAATTAAATGACCCCAAATGTATGACTCTTCCTGGACCAACTCCAACTTTACCGTCTTACTTAACCTCAGTTTAGTTAGTTGATGTGTACGTATGTGGAGATGTATTTAAGTGGAAAAAAAATAATTATTATCAATTAATATGCATTTGTTTCTTTGGTTTGTTTTAGCTTTTTTTCTTTATACCAATGTTTGATTTTGTAAAAAAAAAAAAAAAACAAAACTTTTGAATATATTTTTTAATATTAATTATTATACATTTTATTTTTTTGTATTTTACCTCTATGTTGAAGTATGTTTTCCCTTTTCCTCTTTTTTATTTTTTTTAATGCACAAATGGAAAACTTTGTTCCATAAAACAAATGTTCTCCAAAAAAAGAGTTTAAAACCAATTTTCACAAACAGCTAATTCCTCTTAACAATGAGATCCTGCATTAACACACACATTTCTGGCACAGTTCAAACAGTTTGGTTATTTCACAAGAACTTTCTGTATGTTTTTGTTTTGCACTCTTAACAATTAATATTTAATGTTATAGACAGATGATTGATTGATTTCGTTCAGGTTTTGTTTGATTATCTTGGGTATACTGGATGATACTGTTGATACTGGATTTGACTGAGTCTGAGCAGCCTGATCCTTTTTTTTACTTTATTCAAATTACTCTGTCAGAATTTGACTGATGTGAATTTGTGAATCCTTGTTTTTGAATTTGCACTTTAACTTAACATAACCTGAAAGAAGGGGTTCAATTTTCCATCCTTAATCTTGAGCATTCTTTGACCTACCTAGTTCTTGTTTTCATGGACTCTATTTCTGACACTCAGTCCACCTGTGGACATTTCAGTCACTGTACATACTGACATGCACACGTGCACTTTATTGTTGTAAAAAAGAAAGGAATTGAATAAAAATTGAACAAATCATAATAACCCGGAAGAAGATTTCAAAGTGAATTCAAACCACTTAAATTCAGAAAAAATGTTTTTTAAAGTAAAACATTTGAACACTATAAGTTCAGTGATATTTACATTTCAACAGTTACATTGTGATGCAACACTGGTTAGAAATGTTTCTGCTCACAGTTTGTCTCAAATGCGATTTAAAAACACATTTTCATTTAAGTGAATAGGTGACAGGTTTACTCAGTTAACAGGCATTACGTTATTTATACTGAACAAGGATTTTTAAAAAAAATTAGTACTGACCCATGTCATTCTTATCCCTGGAATGGCGGGACAGATTTCGGAGGAGGCCTGTTAGAGAACGCAGCTCCAGGTCATTGTTGGAACGCAGGAGGTCAAGCAGCACTGGCAGCATGCGCTCCTGCTCCAGAGCCACCCGGCTCAGCACAGATGCCCACTGTGGGACAAATATGTTTAAGTATTTGGACAAACCTATAGATTGTTGCATCCGAATGGTTTTTACTGATGAATATGATGCTTACCCTCTTGTCTCCAGCTGTGATGTTCTGCAGCGCTCCAGCAGCTGCCTCACGGGTGGTGGTGTTGATCTCACACTGATGCAGCACACGGTTGTACAGCCCCACTATCTGTGGGTGCCACAGCCACTCCACGCCCTTTGGCACCCGAGCGACCTCGGTGAAGGTGGAGAGATCCTGGTTCTTGCTCTGTCAGTGGAAGAAGTATACAAGAGTACATTGTTAACACGGGCTGAGTCTGGTCCGCACACAGTAAAAGTTGAGGGGGTAAATCTCATGCAAGCGTACATTTTTGGCTTTCCTGCTCTGAGGTGTAAAGCAACCAATGGCGTCGCCTTTCCCTGAGGCCTGATCTCTGGTTGGTCCTTCCAGGCGCATCATAGCAGATGGAGGCATCTCGCTGTAGAGCTGGTAGGAGAGGTTCCTCAAGACACACACTGCATTTTCCACCCCCTACGAATACACACACACAGACACATGAATACACAAGCCTTGAGCTAAGCATAAACAGCAGCTTAAATTCAGATCCTTCTCGTCTGGTCTCACCTTGTCTTCTGCCTTGTTTTCTTCAAGGGAGGCCTTGATGTAGCCCACCAAAGAGTCCACCAGTCCGTGTGTTTCTCTCATCTGCTGACGGGTCTTCTCGTTCACCGAGCTCATATTCCTGAGCACACACAGAACCAACGAGGGGTCAGAGAGATATTTCAGTAAAAATTCAGTCAGGAATCATACATGTGGGCCTATATTAAGCTCATTTTCAGGGTCGCACTTCTATTCTGGGTTTATACTACAACACGTTTACATGCTTTAATGTACAAAAAACTGTCATTAAGCCCCTCTCCCCTAAATAGTAAAGTCTGCTTTGATCGGTCAGTGTTTCCGTGTCTTTCACATGTGCACTCTCAGCGTCTCTACCCCGTTATTGGAGCTAGATATGACTATAACGACACTGTAGCAGCAGTTTCTACCTTTATATAGTATAGTTGTGACATCACAACTTCACGGCGGTCTTAACGGCTTGTTTAAAGGCAGCGTTTTTGAATAATGACTGTGCCTTTCTCTGTCGATTGAGCGTTTTGATACTTGATATAGCTGTTATTGATACCTGCTTTATAATAGAAAAGACATGGAAATCTGGGACCTTTAACCAGACAGTGCAAATATAGATGTCAGCACAGTTTGTAGCACTGTGCTACATGATAATTATCATGCAGGGAGCACAGCAAATATCCCCCCAAATAGCAATTAATTTGCTGATAAAAACTCTCCAGGGTGCACATTAACAGAGCAGAGCCAAAGGCAACTGAAGGCTGGAGTGACGCACGCTTTTGCAAACAACAGTGAAAAGCGATGGGTGTGGTAAAATCCCCAGTGGCTGTGAGCTGCCACGCGAGTTTGAGTCTCCTGCTAGAACAAGTTCCCGAAATGCAAATGTGGTCATGGGAGAAAAGGTTAAACAGGAAGACAAATATTTTTAACGAAGCAGCGTGCTGCAGCCACAGAGAGACGACACAGATAGTAGAGGTGCACCTGAGGCATCCTGTAGTGTTGTAAAAGATGTCTGCCTCAGAGGGCGACTGCTGGATGATCTCAGAGTCTCCACCACCTGACAGAGGGATGAGGATCTTCTCGGTCAGGTCAGGAAGTGTCTCCCTGGCCAGTTTCTCCTTCAGATTGTCTTTGGATGAAAGGTTCCATAGGATACCTGCACACATACACACACCAGGGGAGAGTCAGTGAATCTGACATTTACAGTGTGTTTGATTTTGCATATCCCTGTAGTGTCTTTAATGTTTCATGTCCCAACCTGGGTGTCAGGAATTTTGGACATTTTAACCTCATTCTTGGAGATTTTCATGTTTCCCCAGTTTAGAGAAATATTTTGAAAATAGACAGTGTCGCTTTTTTGCCTAGAATTAGATGAGAAGATTGATACCACTCTCATGTTTGTCCGTTCAGTATGAAACCAGCAGCTTGTTAGCTTAGCTTAGCATAAAGACTGGAAACAGGGAGACAGCTAGCCTGGAAAAGACTGAAGTCAACAAAAAGTGTCTACCAACACCCCTAAAGCTCACTAATTAACACATTATATCATGTTTGCATAATCTATACAAAAACCAATCGACCAATAACAAGTCTATTTCTTGGCCGGGTGCAGTAACTTCCTGGAGTTTAGGAGGTGCTGGGAGGCGGAGTTGGTACTGCTGGACAGAGACAGGCTAACTGTTTTCCGGGTCCATGTCATTGGTTCGACATCCCATTAGACCGACTGTCCGTGGTGCTGAACGGCTCGCGGCGGGCGTATGGTGTGCCGCGACCGGCTCTGGGTCAGCTGGGAAAGGCTTGAGGCAGAGCAGGCTCACGGCTTATGTGTTTGTCACTTTCTTTTTCATTTTAACCCACACCATGATCTTTTCCTGACCATAACCAAGTGGTTTTTGTGCCTAAACCTAACCAGACCTTAACCACAGGGCATCATGATGATTTCAGAACGGACTCCAGAACAGTGGGTTTAATATGGTCGGAACAATGGGCTGTCAGACCAATGGGCAGTTCCCCTGTTTTCCCCTGCTCCAAGTCTTTGTGCAATCTTCTCTTCTAACTCTCAGAAAAATAGCGGTGGTGGATTTAGTACTGCTACACTGAGTCAGGCTAATTGTTTTCCCCTGTTCAAGTCTTTGTGCTAAGCTAAGCTAACTAGGTGCCGGCTAAAGCTTCATATTTAGCATACAGACAAGCAGGTGGTATCAATCTTCTCATCTAACTCTCAGCAAAAACGTAGAGGCAGATTTGGTACTGTGTTTCGCCCCATTTCAGGTGTTTGTGCTAAGCTAAGCTAAGCTAAGCTAACCAGCTGCCAGCTTTATCTTCATTAGCACACAAACATGCAGATGGTATCAACCTTCTCATTTAACTCTGAGCAAGAAAGCAAATGATTTTCCAAAATGTTGAACTTGGACGATGAATTCTTTTCAAAACCTATGTGAGGAAACTATGGCAGTGAAGCTGACACAGTTGGCATTCACTGTGAGTAAGATAAGACCTCTGTGTCACATCCTAGCAATCCAACCAGAAAAAAATGTGCACACATGCAATTACCCTGTTATTCATCACTCTCCCAACAACAGATACAAATCAAGGTGTAACAGCTCAAAGGAAAGAGTGACAAGGCCATCACTCATAAAAGGGAGCGGCAGATATACTGTAAGTCCACAGGCCCAGACAACTCCCACACATGCCTTCATCCCCCCACCTTCACACACCCTATAGAAAAGTCTGCAGCTCCACCTCCCCCACCTTGTGGGCTCAGACACACTAAGACTATGAAGTTGGAGTCGCAACATCGTTTTCCTTAAATTCCAGTCAGCGTTCATTTTCTTAGAAAGTATGACTGACAGTTTTGCTGATAACACATAATTGTGACACCAGATGAACTTTTAAGAATGTAGTGTGTAATGAGTGCTGAGGGGTGAGAAGACAGAGTAAACTGAAAACACAACTCATTTAAACTTGAACTGTGAATGGCTCACAGACATTAATAAAACAACAAGACTCCACCATGAGAAAGAATCATGTTTCTCACATCTCAGACTGTAATTTAGTTCCAGTAAATGCTCTGTGGATTCCTGTTAGGCTACAGCTTGCCACTGTCCTCCTATTTGTTTCGTGCAGAATAATATCAATTTCAAAGGTTACTGTTTCCTCAAAGAATTTCAAGGGCACCATGGCTTAGATCATGTTGCATCCAAATATTGTGACTGACTAATTTGCACTCATTTCTGCTGGAGGTAAAAGTCCAAAACAAGCAGTCTGAGACCAGCTCTGCTTGTTGTGTCATGTTCTTATTTTAATGAAGCCATCAGGTTTTTCTTACCGGTGATATTTTTGTGGAGCTCTTCGTCTGGCTCCTTAAGTGCCTCGACCAGTTGTGGGATGCCACCCTCCTCGATCAGGGTCACCTTGTTATCCATGTTCTCGTAGATGAGGTTGCGAGTGGCGCCAGTGGCGTAACGTTGCACCTCCTGGTTGTCGCAGTTGAACAGCTTCACCAGCTCACTAATGCCCTTCAGGCGACGCACCTAGAGACAGGGTGGCAGGAAAAAAGCTCTGTTTAGGATATTAATTCGCTTGGAAACTTTATTTTCTCCAGTGATTATGTGATTTATGGTTCTTTGTTAGCTTAGGAACTAAACTTCTTCAGGGATTAACGTGACGCACCCATTGCTTTGTGGACTCTTGCCTTGAGTTTGGCATTTTGGACGTTGCCATCTCAAATTTTTGGAGCCAGAAGTGATTACATTTGGATGAGCTTGGGAGGAGCGAGAGGTGGATCTAACTCACAGACTGTGGTGATGCCTTGCAGACAGGCTGTCACTCACAGCGGTCTTGCCCTTAATTATGCATAACTTTAATACCTAATAAAATGTGAATGGTTGAGTTATATAATAATTCAACCCCCATACAGCTGTTATGAATGTGAAATTTGGATAGAGACCGAAACCATTTTGTGCACCAGGCTGTAAACATGTTTATTTCTGCTGTAAATTTTAACATGGGTGTCTATGGGGATTGATTGACTCTTGACACCAGCCTCTAGCGGCCTGCAGTTTTTGGCACTCATGCATTGGCTTCATTTTTCAGCCCTGGAGGTTGCCGCTTGGTCAGTGTCCTTGGGTTGGATCCATTGTGCACTGTTGTCAGCCACAGCATTTTTGTCATATCACTGATAGAAGCTGACATAGAGGCTTTAAAGGAATAGTTCAACCTTTTGGGAAATGCACAATATCACTCTCCTGTCTGTATTTAAATATTAAATGAGGTGCTGAAATGATTTTGTTACCTTGGCACAGAGCCAGACCAGCTGTTTGCCTCCGTTTACAGTCTTTATGGTCAGCTGAGCTAACCGACTGCTGGCTATAACTTCAAATTTACCGTACAAATATGGGAGTGGTATCAATCTTCTCATCTACCTCTGAGCATGAAAACCACTCTGTCTTTTTTCCCAAAATGTCAAACTATTCCTATTAATATAAAATCATCTGGATCTTTTCATAAAGCTCACAGGAGACTGTATCCTCAAAGCTGAAAATAACCTCTACGAGCTAAAAGCACAGGGCCGACTGAGCCATCTGCCACATAAGATAAGAGTTTTAAGCCCTACTGTAAGTCATGCCATTCAACACCTATACAGGGCAAAGTCCAAGTACGTTTAGAGGGATGATAAAAACTGACATCATGTGTAACAACTGGAGCACACCAGAACAGAAGCAAAACTGCGGCTACTTTATGTCACCAGAAATGGAGAAACATCCATCAATGGACGCCTACGCCTGAAGGGAAAACAATTTTCATGACTGAGTGTCTCAATACAGGATTGCACAGACAGAGAGGAAGGACCCAGAGGATTTTAAACCACAAGTTTAATCAGTTTGAAGTACCTCGTTTTTGGCATCGCTGTTGTTGTAACACTCATGTTGAATGTAGGCAGCACCCAGGACCTGCAGGTCATGGTCGGGCTCCCTCAGGTTCTGCACTGCAGTGGGCATGTCCAAGGAGGCGATCCTAGTGAAGGAGTAAACAAACAAATTCAGCCAAAGAATCTAAAACATTTAATTATGTAATCACCCTACTGTTATGTATGGTAGCACAAAATATGTCTCTTGGATGTTTAAATGTGAAGCCACAGTAATTATTCATAGATGATTTGTTTCTTGTCTCCAGGAATTTCAGCTCGTTGAATTTCTTCCAAATCACACAGCGGTCTGCAAATCCGCTCAACTAACCACATGCTGTGGGATGTGTGAAATGCGAGGCCTGAAACTGAGCTGCCACACCCAAAACCAGTCCTGCCACTGCGGAGCCACCTCCCAATCCACAGCTCTTAGGAAATACACAGTTCACATCACACACTCCCTCGCTAAAAGCCCCTGACACATGAAAGTTGTGACTCCATCATGCTGGTGTATCACAATCACTTGAATATCACTGATGTTCAGGAGGAACACGACACTCTGAGTCACCAGTTTTACGAGAGCTGTCATCTCTGTCACTGTGTATTACAGTCTGGTTAGAGGATAAGGCTTGCGTCATTACGTATTTCTCCCATTGTCAGAAAATCCCATGAAAAGACCAACAATTGTGTAAGTCTGTCTTTCAATACTGTCTGACCTCCCTATACTGTGTTACGTTCCCAGCCCCAAGCTCATTTGTTTCGATTAAAGACATAAAGCTTAAAAAGTGGTCACAGATATCACGCTAATTTTTTTTAAAAGGCTCAATGATTTCTTAAACAACTGGGCACTCAAACTGAAGTAAATAAGAACATTTTTTGGGGACTATTTTCAGCAACGGATTAATACAGATTTGGTTTTGTGAGTATATAACAGCAGCAGGACAGTGCATGTGGCATCAACTCAAGATAAAGAGCAGTGACCATGTTCATTGTAACAAACTGACTTGTCACTCAGTGCAAAAGTGTGGCTCACTGATGTGATTTTAGTAGTTTGTGTACAAAGGAGGGTCTTTAGCGCAGAGGATTAACCTACTATCAGGCTTTACATACACGAACAAAACATGTTAGTGGGATCAGTTCATTCTTGGTCCTCTTTCCTGAGGATTTGTTGACAACAGGAAGTCAGTGATGCAAATGAAACATTGTTGTCATGTGAGCTTCTTACCCGCTGAGGTTGCCCATGCTGGCTCCCATCTCCATATTCCCGAAGACGTCCACGCCCCTGCCAACACTCTGCATGCTTTTGACAGACATGGCACGGGACAGGGTGTTCTGACGCAACAGGTTCCCCTGGGAACCAGAGGACACTCCGGCTGTGATGAAACCTCTGTCCACCACGTCCATCCCTCCGCGATACATGCTCCCACCTGAGGATACCTGCTGCCCAGACACGGAGCCCATGCTCATACGGTTTCGGCTTGTAATCCTGTTGATGGTGCGCTGGGCCGGGCCTTTGTAGGAATGCTGCTGGACCATCTCCACCTCTCCCCCTGACATCCCTCCGCCACGGGAGAGAGTGCCACTGAGAGATCTGCGCATTGGAGATGTAAAGGACATGGTGCCTCCTCCTTGCCTCACCTGGCTGGTGTAGCCGTTGATTGCGCTCTGAGCGTACTGGCGGTTTAAGGTGGCGTCACGGTCGGAGACCAAGCTGCCAGCATCGCTGCCGTCCATCGCCCAGGAATTCACCAGCGCTGTGTGCTGCCGCACTGCGCCCTGGGAGAGAACCTCCTGCTCCATTCGGCTGTGTGGCCTGGGGGTTGTATGGTAGCTGCCAATGCGCATGTCTTCTCGGTAATAACTGCTGCCACCACCACCACCACCACCTCCAACACTGATCTTGTGCATCTGGGCCATGTCTGGGCCAGCAGACTGGCAGCTGAAGCCTGACCTATGGGACATGCGTGGACCCTGAGGATGAGGAGAGGAGTGACTGTTACAATCAAAGGTGTGACCACAGTTACTCATCATGCTCCAGAAGTGAACTGTGAATGTGTGGGTGGATTTGTTAAGAGTCACAGTATATCGACAAAAATGGTTTCTAAATTTGATCAGAGGAATGTGACGAACTTTTGGGAAACAAGGGTCAGGCCCTTGACATACTGATTTCCATTCCTCATACTGGGCACAGTAATTTAGGCGCAGAGGTCAGTGTTATTAGTGACTCAAATATAAAATGACTGAAAAGTATGATGAAGCCTAAAATGCAACTTCAGGCCTCTCTAAAAGCTCAGAGCTCAAACATCTGTGGCACAAAGCCAGTGTTGCTGTTGAATTACTGAAATTGAGGAATCTAGAGGGTGGACTTGAAAACCCTGAGCTGATCTCATCACAGCGTACTGTGAAATACCACACATCCTGTGTCCTGGGTGACCCCCTGTGGCACCAGCAGAGGGTCAGACTGGTTTATTAGAACATCCAGTTAAATGAAACATGACATGATCAGTGTAATATTTCCATGATATGTGTGAATACACACTGAAACAGTGAGATACTGCTGCAGTACTTACCAGTGTTTTGGCGCCGGAGTACATATAAGATGATTTAGAGCTGTAGCTTGGGGTATAGGTGCTATATTTCATTGTTGAAGAACCACCGTAGTCTGAAAGGAAGCAGAGACAGAAAATAAGATAAGTGCCACGTAGAAGATCATATTGATACAACTGTAATAAAGTCAAATGTTACAAGAAGAATAAAAACTGGTTTACACCTTTTCTTTGATGCAGTAAACTATTAATTAAAACATACATCTCTTCTATAGTGGAATTAACATTATATTATGCATGCATACTGTTATCATGATGGCCCACCAGAGGACGGAGACAGGAAACAGAATGCTTTTTAATCTATGTAATATTTATTCATTGTGCAAAATAAGAAAAAGCACATTGGCCGATTCTCATAGTTCATTTTAAAGCCGATACTGGCCGATACCAATATTATTGTGCATCCCTATTATATAAATATCATGATGATACTATTTAGTGTGACCACAAGCTCACTTAATAGAGTTTGTTCATGTTCTCACGGCAGAATTTATAAGTGGACCAGACAATGTGCCTGGCGAGAAAGCTGCTCTTGATTGGTCAGAATTTCCATGTGGGAAGAATCCAGGAAGTAAACAAAACGCTGAAGAAGAGTACACTTGCAAGATAAATGTGACACTTTCTAATGTCACAATGGAGGGACAACTACGCAGGTTGATATTAGCGCTGCTCATCATGGACTATATTGCTGTCATTGTTCATTTTAGTCAAACCATACAGTTTGAAAACGAGGCGCGGCTCCAACTAGAAAACAATGTTTTGATGCATTGGAAGTGCTGAATGTGCATATTAAGGCAGTACAGGAGGAGGTGCACATTAATAATCCTCCAGGACTGTAACATGCTCATGTTTAACCCAAACAATGTGTCACGTGACTGCAGTTGGTTCAGATCTCACCACAAACAAACTGCACCAGAGTTCATTTGTAACCTGATTGAGACCACCTCTTCAAGAAGGTCTGGGTCTGCTTGTTTTGATGCACACCCGAGTGCGATTGCTGTGTTAACACCTGCCCAAACGAACTGCACTTAGGGGGCAAATGAAGTGAGTTCGATTGAACAGAACCAAACAGGGCAGGTGTGAAAGCACCCTTAGATTTTGGATATTGTAATATCGTAAGCCTTGTCTTTTCCTGGTTTTAAAGGCTGCATTATAGTAGGGTTCTAACTAACGATTATTTATATTATTATCTGTTGATTTTCTCGATTGATCAATTATGTCACAAACCAGCTCAGTAAATGTGACAAGAAGGGAGTCCACACAAATGATTTACTTATAACAAGACAGAATTTATTAAACTAAAATTAACTTAAATAATAAATGGAGTGTGCAGGTCAGCAAAGTCAGTTATGAAAGCCATGCATGGGTGAGTGTGGAGGCGTTGAAGGTGCAAACCAAAAGCAATGATACTCGGTGGATGTCAGCTGAAGGAAGGGAGAGGCCAAGTGAACACATGAGGCAGCTTTTATAGCCTGGAAGCCCAGGTGAGCCTAATCAAGGTAACAATCCTCCCATGTCAGCCAACTGCCTGGTGAGGCTGGCTGGAAAAGTGGGAGGGGCGTCACAATTAGTTTAAAATGTCAGAAACTCCTCTTCTTAAAACAGTATCAACAAGAGGTTTTTTAAGATGACAAAAAAATCATAACAGAATGTATGTGTTGATCTTATAAGAAGCAGCAGTGTCACTGTCAAATACAGGTCCAGGCAGAAACAAGACAAAGACAACTGGAAGCGCTTTCAATGCAAAAAGTGTCGTCTACTTGTGCTTGAAATGTGTTGTCCACAAATCTGCATGTTAAGCTGTTCATCTTTCGTTCTGTGTGCACTTCTGTTAAAAAGTAGTTTCACTTTTTTGCAAGCAAGGAGTTTGTTTTTCCTCAGCTGACAAATCTCTTTTTTGGTTTTATTCTTGTTTCACATTCAGTAGAATGTGGGGACTTTTTTTAATTTTGTAATCTTGTAGAAGCAGAACAAAGTAAGCTATAGTGGCAAAAGGAAAACTTTAAATGGTGTTTGGTGTGTCAACTGATCACTGGGCTCTGCCACAGATAAATAATACAGCATCAAGTCAAGCCCGACCTTTAGTGGTATGACTGCATGTAAGGATACAGTCAAGGAATTGATTAAATTGTTTCTAAATTAAAACACACTTTTCTTTGAGCTATTGTTTTAATTCAGCGTTACCCAATTAAGTTCATCTGAATATAACTGTACAAGACTTCAAAGCACAAAATAAAGTGTCTTTATCGAACACATGGCTCAGTGGAGGTAGATTTAATCACAATTGCAGCTGTTACAAGGTGTTACGCCTTTTATTTACAACAATGATTTGCAAGAAAGACAAACATTTTGAATAGCGGGTATCCTGTTACACTAATGACGGAAGTTTCGATTGCACACACAGTCTATAACAGCAAGACCCGACCGGTCCCAAGGTCTGACGTCTCTGGTTACCCTTCACACAGAGTGAACAGTTCACATCTGACATACTAAGACGCTCTCGGCTCTCTCGGCTCTCTCGGCTCAGAGACAGTGTGAATGCTTTGCTGTAAAACCAGAACGCAGAGTTACCTGACAGGTGAGTAATGAATGTGACAGCAGGCTTGTAAAGTAGCCACCGTTTATCCACTCAAATGTCTGCATCAACTGAAGCAGAAAACCTCCAAAAAGTGTCAAAACTCTCTTTGCAGATGTGTCATTTTGTTCCTATAGTTTCTCATCACCAGGAATCGACTGTACATTCTGTCATTTACTATCAGAAAACTGACACAGACTTTCAGAGAAGCAATTTGTTGTTGCAGGGAGGCAGACTAACACCAAAAAAGACTACAGCCATGCTAGCAGCTTTTAACTAAATGTTGGAGGCCCTTATAAACCAAGCCGATGGTCGGTCGTTGGTCAATTTCAAGCTGTCGGTGAGCATCTGTCACCCTAGTTTCTGCGGCGTGTCTCGAACCGTTGGCACTAGTCAAGTCAAACTTTTAATATGAGGAAAGCTCAGTTTTGCAGCAGGTGAGCTCTTTAGCAAAAATGGTTTGTAATCATTTTATTGTTTGCTAGCGGACAGTAATACCCTTTCTTCCTTTAATATCAGGTTGTGCAAATTGGATAACTAGTGTCATGAATCGGTCCTGCCAGTCTTGCGCATTCCCTTGCTGGTATGGAGATTTATTTCCTCTCATGCAGACATAGAACGTACATGCCAGTTGGCCGTTGGCTGTCGTCTTTGCGGTGTGTATAGGTGCAACGTTTTGGCAGAGACACAGGTAACGTGAGGTTATGCAACAGTCTGCCTTTGTTGCCAATACTTCTTTGATGTCAGTTTGGTGTGTCAGGGCCTTAACATCTCTTAGTTTATCTAAGTAGCATTAAAGACAAAGTTGAGTTGAGGCTGATAGGAGTATCTTCAGTTTTGTGGGTAAATGGTGAAATTATTGGACCAAATAAAATGACCTGAGCTGATGATATCACCAGATGAAAAGTTGAGGGATTGCCAAAGTTATTACAAATCATCCTCAAGGGAACGAAAACTAAAATGTCTGCTTCATTGGTGGCAAAAAAACAGGAAAAAAAACGGGGGATCATGAAGACTGCAGCAGTCAGCATCTGGGGACCATAAACAAAATTTCATTGCAATCCATTCAATAGTTGCTGAGGTCATTCAGTATGGATCAAAGTGGCAGATTGATTGACACTGTCGTACATAGAGCCACACAGGCAGCATGACTGAAAAGGTAGCCAGCAGTCAGTGTTTGAAGATCAGTTACATGTTCTGACACAAGGCTCGAGCCGATGATTGGTATAAAATTCAGGCCGCACTGATCATGATTCAAAATTGCTTTTGCCTTGAGGGAACCCAGACACTTAAATAACAAAAATAACACAATAATCTGAGGAAACATTAAAAATCAAAGACAGGTTTATCGGTGCGATTGCACCTAAGATTATGTGTGAGCATTCTGTACATGTGCGTCTGCGTGCTGTGGGTTTTACATTTCCCATGTGTAGCAGAGGGGAGGGGCGAGCTGTCGTCACGCTTCATTTCTACAGAGCGCACACACCAAACCAGTTGGTATAGAGATTGACTGACACGTCCCTTGGCCCCAGCCCAACCTCGGCTACGCCCAACACACCTTTGCACCACAGGGAAAACACACCCTGACAACTGAACTTTTTGTTTTCCTCTGTTGTCTTTTGAAAAATTCACTTTGGTCATAAAGTCAATACTTAAACACACACAGTTTTTTTTTCCTTTCTCTCGCCCACTGCTGAGACTTGCCTTCCTGTAAACACCAATAAGCCCATACATGCATAGTTGTTGCAGTATTTAAATACAAAAAAAGGAGGCGTTCCTCGCAGAGTGTTTTCCTCATGTTTGAACACTCGTGCATTCATTATGAGCTCCTTCAAAGCCACAAGCCACTGAAATTGCAGCATTCCCCGTTGTGTCGTTAGGAATCCTTCTCTCCCTCTTGTACAGGTTTGAAAAGACGATGATTATGACATGGCGACATTTTATGACTGCGTGTTTTCCTCCCAGCAAAGCCCAGGGCAAAGGACGGGCAGAGATAACACTGTGAAACATCACGCTCAGCCTAGTTCTGACAGAGCGTTTGACAATTGTAATGGACGTAAAAACAGAAACTGAATCATTTTTCAAACTAGTGTGTCTGTTTGCATCCCTGCAGTTAAAAAAAACACGATCAGCATGTTTTTTCTCTCAAGGCAGGTATGTTAGTGCCTCAGGGAAATGCTCAAACTAGACGAGTGAGAAACAGGTTCTTCTTTACAACCAGAATTTTAAAGGTTATTAGACAAGATCCAACATCATGCTGCTCACTGCAGTTTGGGGGGAACACACTGAATTATGGGACATGAAGGAATGTCCTCATGCATCAAGCAGGTGCACAAGTTTTAGTCAGCAGATTTAAAAAAAAAAATGTGTCTAAGTGTAGCTCAACACCAACTGAGCTCCTTAACCGCATCAAGTCGTCACATAAGTTGTAACAATCGAGTAAACTAATTTACAGCTCTCCTGGAATCCTTTAATTTCTCCTGTGAGAGTCTCACTGCGGCTTACACAACAACCCCATCTTGAGTGACGGTGTCTGAGCGCCAAGACGACTCAAAGAGACACCGACTAAAACTGCGACGTCTTTAAACAGACAACACAACAGCTGGTTCTCACGACACCATCATCTCCCAGGTATCTCATCAGCCCTCTTCTCTTAAAGCTGAGTAAGACCTGAAACTCAGTCTCACAGAGAGAGGCTTTCACCTTGATCTGCTATCAGGGAAGTTCATGAAAGCAGCTCTTGTTTGAGCCTGTTACACATTAACCCTTTCTCATGGGCAGGTAGATGGCATACAGAGCTGCTGCTGTGAGATCACAGCTCAGGCCTTAGGTTCATCTGAACCTGCAGAGCAGCTGAATGGACAAATTCCCCCCATGAGCTGACAAGAAACAAGTTCACAGGAATGCAACAGGGTCACACACACACACACATATATCAGACATACTAATGCACACACACTCTTGAAAGTAAAAGCTTCCTCACTGATCTGAGTCAGGGGGATTATGACATTGGTTCCAGTAAAATAAACTAAAGATAAAGTAACTAACTCTAAACCTGTAATGATTAATCGAATAATTAATCTGTCGGGCAACAACAAATTTATCATCCACTCTTTTGAAACCGAACAAATTGTTGAAGTAAATTTTAAAGCACAACCTCACTGGTTCCAGCCTCTTAAATGTGAATATTTTCTGGTTTTCTTTGTCCTCTGTACACTGGCATAAGGAAATTACAACAGGCCCCAGTTCATGCTAATATGACGGGCCCCCCAAAGCTACCATTTATCATATCCTCTTGCCAAATGATCAAATAGCGATGACACTGGACAACATCAATGTACATATTATCCAGCAATCATCAGAGCATAAAACCCCAAAGAATATAAAAAATTATTCATTCAATTGAAATCTTTGTCAGTTTTGTAAAGTTTGCGTAGTTTAAAGATTGCTACTCACTATTTTACCAAAACTAATAAAATCCCTGACAGAGATGGCCTTGCCTTTTCGACAGAATATACAACAAATGGCACCATTTTTCATTTCACGTGCGGCGTATTTCTGAGGGCCAACACTCCACCCAACATATTGCTGCTCCGCCCCACAGGCCCCAATGCAACTGCACTGTCTATATTTACAGCCCTGCCCCTTATACTAAATATCTTTGGGTTTTAAACTGATTTATCTAATAAAAAAAGATACTGAAGACATCACTATGAGCTCTGGGAACTCTGGAGCAACTGATTATTGGATAAAGTATTCAGTAGATTGATCAAAAAATAAAGTACTTAAAATACTTGTTAGTTCACAATCTTTTAAAATGCATGTGTGGTGTGACTTAAAAACCAAGAGTGAACCTTGGGGAGGGGGGGTTTCTAAAGTTTACAAATGTAAAGAGGAACATAGCAGTTTTGCAATTTGGAATGTCCCATGCAACTGAAAAGCCCAACCCAAATGATTTTATTTCACTTATCTTGGACTGAGGCCAAAGGAAACAAGATTGACTGGTCAGATAAGAGCTTTAATTACTTGTTTAAGTGCTGGGTTATTAGGCCATACACAGCACTGTTGTCAACACCTGTACCTGCACCTGTACCTGTGGGGGGCTCTAAGTGGCTGCAGCTTTAGCAGTCACTGACCCCAAATCTTTCTTCAGCTCACTGAACTCCACACGGAAATACTGTCACAAAGAAGAACATAAAGCCGCTGCAGTTCTTTGTGAGTTAAATAGATGTGTTTACCTGACATGGCGTATTGTGTGGCCGATCCATTCTGACGCGGAAGTGTGGACTTCTGCGCCATTCTCATCTGGACCTGCTCCTTGACGCGCCGCGCTCTGGCCATCTCGTCCGACATGGTGCTTCCGTTCCCGAGGTGGATCTCAGACGGGAGTCCATAGGTGGTGACCGTGGTGTTGGGCTGTAAAGCGGTCAGAAACACATTCTCAGAGGCCATGACACTCATAGTGACAAGTTAAAGAAGAGGAGACGCGAGAGAAGCGTCCGAACAGAGTGGTGCGGGCAGGTTGTTTGCGCAGCCGAAAGTATGTGAGGCGCACTGAGAAGCGCACACAGAGCGAGCAGAGCTGCACACCAGCAGGAGGTGGAGCCTCACTGAACCCAGATCAGTACCTGACTCACACATGTGCTCCTCTCCTTATCTGATTCTTTCAGGTTTTGGTGCAGTTGGCTACTTTAACGTTGCGTTACTGCCTCCCTCTGGAGTCACTCATGTCTATTTTTAATATCATATAATTAGTCCAGCTGCTCTCATAAAACCAAATAGCCATTTCTGTCCACCGTACAGTCTCTAATGTACTTTTTACTGGCCTCTACTTGCCCTGTTTTCTCCAGGTGACTCACCGGTGAGCTGCTCCTCTTTACGCACTGCTGCTGTTGCTTTAGTCAAATATTTGTTAGTTAAACCTTTAAAAACCAATTTAGTTTAGTACTTAAGATTTAATCTCCAACAGAGTGCTCAATTAGAGATTGAGATTGAGATTTAGGTTTAACTGGATTTCAAAATGTTTATGAGGTTTTATTTGCTCTGAAAATACCTGAAATCGCATAAATTTAAGTTTAAATCTGTGAAAATCTGAATTAAGTGGATTTTTTTTAAAAGGTTAAAATAAACTTTAATGTATTTTTTAAATTTAATATAACATAATTTAAGATGTAAGGTAAAACCATGACAATTATGTATTATTAACATTAAAATGAAAAAATAAAAAATAAAAAAAATAAATAAAGATCCATGTTGAATCAGAGTTTAACATGAGGTGAGAGTGTGGAGAAACCAGGTCAATTAACTGTCAGTGATTCAGCACTCTCTCACAGCTCTGTGGCCAGTGGAGTCATACCCAAATTAATAACCAGGTTAAATGTGACAGAGCCAATTCATTAACACCATGATGTCACATGTCATGCAGTGTTACTACACTGTTGTTCACAGGATGGAATAAACTACTGCAAGTACTGCAATGACGTTCAATTCTGAGGTACTTTATTTCAGCATTTCCATTTTATTCCTCCACATTTCAGGAGCTAGTGTAGTACAACAGTAGTCTTTAGTTGCTTTTCAAATGCTGATTATTAATACAAAATATAAGTCAACAAACAAATTATGATGTATTATTATAGGAGCTACCCAGAGGTTTATGAAATAGTTGTAATTCATTCCAGTTTTATCAGCTGTAACACTGAATTCACATGATTAAACTTGAATCTAAAATTTTAATAAAATAAAATATGCACAAAAAAATCAAACAGAACAGCAATAAGCAGCAGATAACAGAGGACTTATCTTACAGACTTTAAATAAGCAACTTAAATTAACATTTTATGTCCAAAAAGCAGTAGAAAGAAGCAACATGCTTGTCTAGTCTTACTCCTGTTCTATACTAATCCATCAATACTCAATCACATAAACAGACCAGCCGCTCCAGCGTCCGTCCCCACAACTAAACCACTAATAATCAACAACACTACCCAGACAAGAATGTGAAAAAGAATTTTTTTGTACATCTTTTTAAATTGTCTGATTTTTTTTTTTTACTTTGTTTAACTATTACTGTACCTCCTGCCTGTTTGCTTTTAGTGCAAACACAACATTGTTTTTGAATTAAACCAAACCAGATCTGTACTCACTCTTAGCTAAATGCGCTCAAACCTTTAAAGGGTATTAGTTTAAGTGTATTTATGTGTACTTTAGTATATGTGTTGTGGTACATCTCTTGTAGTAGATGTATTGTGGGATATGTTGCGACGAATGTATTGTGGTATGTGGCTTGTGGTTTATGTATGTTATGTATGATTTATGTGCCTTCCATGTTTGCGAGAGTTGAAAATTAGCAATAGCTATAAACTCAGCAACACATCGGTCCCAAACTCTGTATTTGAACTATGCTAGATTGCATGGTCCCTATCAAATAAAATAAGAAAATGAATAAATAAATCTTAATATATAACTCCCCTCTCTGTCCAACAACTGTCTTTTATATTGATTACAAATTATTTATTGCTTTGTACATTGTGCAATTTTAAATGTCACTAGATCTCTTAATTTCAGTGCGTGGGAGAGGAGTGTAAGTGTGTCCCTGATATCCAACATTAGTGATGCTTACACATTAATGCTTTGTTAGTTATAATCCATCAATACACAGTAATGTGTTTTAATCTGAAATGGACCGTTCTGCATTTTGAGTACTCTGACTTTTGATCCTTAAAGAATATTTTGATGCTAATATGTACTTTTAATAGAACTTTTAGTAGAGTATTTTACACTATGGTGTTGGTACTGTAACCCTCTTTTCTTGATTGTATGTGTTCCTCAGTTCTTCCGGGCTGCTGGTAATAAGCGGGCTAAAGCATTTGTTTCCTCCTCTCTGTTTAATTCTTACCAACACGGCAAGATAGTACTAACACATCCCACCTTAGAGGTATAGAAACTTCTCTTCACTGTTAATCACGAGGCACTCACGCTCTCTTACTGTATGTATCACTTGTACCTGTCCCTACAAAACAAGTGCAGGTAGGAACCAATGACCTCATAACCAAGAGCACATGAAAATACAACATACAAAGTACTATAAATGACAATGAAATAATAATTTACCAGTGTCTCAAAAATGCTGAATCTATTTCTGCTCACCATTGTTTGTTAGTTTTGCAACAAACAGTTTTATTTATGGTTTTATTTAACAGATAAATTGCTGTTCCTTTTGAATCTGTAATGATTATGTTAACTCATGTATATCCTTTATACATTATGCCTCAGTGTGCTGCAGTAAAGGTGTTTGGGCTCTGGAGAGCTTTGTCTCTGATGTCTTCACAAATTGGCTTCATATTAAGTTCAGTCTTTATAATGACGTTGAGTTTGAATGGAGGACTGTTGGTGTGCCAGGTGTGGCACAGCCGTACTCTATTATTAAGGTGGCACCACACCTTAGTTTTTATCTGGTTTGTTTTATTTGAGCTTAGCAACAGTGAGTCACTGCAGACAACTTGAAAGCGATATGAAGCATGGGAGTCATACATGATACATGCTGCATGTCTGCACTATACTGTCTACCTGTCTGGATGAAGGCTATACAGTTAGAAAAGTCTCTGTTGGAGCAGAATAGATAAACATCTCTCATTGGATAAACATGTCTGCTCTAATTGCTTTGTTCCCCGACTGCCTTGCTTTGTTTCAGTGCATCTGAGCTGAAAAAGATAAAGCACAGCCTGTCCAAAGGTTATTTAATCAGCCAATCATTTCCCTCGAGGACAGTGGAGGATCTCGTCTCCCTAAAGCAGATCAAGGTTGATGGGTTTACACTGAGTAAGATGCAGAGGGAGATATGTGGAGGCATCCTTCCTCTGCTTATCAGCTCATCATTTACCTGAAAAATCACCTTTCACCTGCACACATATTTGTTCACGCTCAATCACACAAGCTTTACGTCACGGCATGTTTGTACATAGAAACAATCACTCAAAGCTTCAGGCGTTTGATGTCTCAGTGAGGCTGAGACTGTGGCAATGCAAAATTAATTTAACTTCATTATTAAAACAGCAATAAAATAGATTAATCTGTATAAACAGCTCCAAAAAATCACAGATTTTGACTCACCATAACCATTAATGCTTTGTCGATAGTAGATGTTCTCCTCTCAGATGAAGTGTATCTGCTCCTCTAACCAAGTGATCTGATCTGATGGGATGTTAGAAAGTGTTAAAAGTTATAGTCACTGTCACCGCCCTGAAATTATGATTCCATCACCATAGCAGGTGAATGCAGAGCGAACGCAAAACAAAGAGATGAGTCAAGCACAGGGTGTGTGCAGAGGAGGGAGAGTCTGACTGTGTCGGGCACAACCAGTCAGAGATAAAGTTTATCTCTTTCAGTGTGTTTTCACTTTTCCTCTGTAAAACGAATGCTTTTCTGGAACAAAACTGTTCTCAGAAAGGGAGGCACATTTTTTCTGCTTTAAATTTGCACAATACTTTTTATTTAGGGCGTGTGATTCAACATCAGTGGTGTTTTTTGGAAGGATGTCGCAACATTTCATTGATGAGTCATTTAGTCAGAACAGTGGGGCATCATAGCAGCTGTGTCCATGAATTCCCAGCAGAGATCAGAAGTGCAGAGTGACAGACATCAGCCTCAAGGTTGACTCAGGTCAGCCTTGAGTGTGTGTGTGTGTGTGTGTGTGTGTGTGTGTGTGTGTGCGTCGGAGAAAGTGATTGCATCAGAGAGTGAGAGCGACACCCTTGCTCTGCCTCCTGTCTCATGCGTCAAGAGCCAACTGTCTGTCTGTCTGTGGTAATCCCTGAAACTGCATCAGTGCGAGGACACCCACATGTTAGGAAAACCTACAAATAATAAAATATAGGGAAAAAATAATTAAAAGTGTTCACCCAAAACACATGAAATAGATACAAAGATTTACAGACATTTCAGAAGAAATGAAGCAGCAGGTACGGACACATTATGAGACAATGGGACCAGACATGTAAATGACCCCCTCACGACTGACAGCACACAGGACTGACCATAAAGCATTGTCATTAAACCCAGTAAGGAAATATTTATGTTTTACACGTTATATGGGCTATACACATAGGCAAATAATGACAGAGAGGCCCCCTACCGGCCCCAGGCCAGGCACAACATTCTGTTGTTTCTCCCCACAGAATTCAGGGGTCCACACTGCAAAGAGTGCGCTTTGTATATGAAGTCCTAAAGTCCCTTTTTTGGACTTTTAGGGCTCTGCTACTGACGTGATGACTAAGCCCTTTGACAAGAAATGCATAGGACCCTGGGCCTGGACCAAGTAGGCCCAATGGGTGATACAGCTATGGCTATACATAAACAAGTGTTACTTCCTTTTGTGTGCCAGAAAGAAATCCATAGGTAAATTAATGCACTGTGTTGTTACTTATATTTGGAGTAAGTTATCTCAGTGGAGTCAGTCTGATCTCTAGATAGACTTATTTGGGTTTAAGGTAGTGCTTCATTAAAAGTGCTGTCAAAACCAATAACAGATCTCGAGCATAAAAATCCATCGTATTTGACCATTTTTAACAGCTGTAAATAAAGTAATGCTGCTTTTTCTGTGCCTAAT